GTGCATTTGGTATCACTCCGCCTGTGACAGGAGCCGGCGCTATAGAGGAGGAATCGGCTTATGCGGCTCTGCTCCCTCCGGTGACGCCTCTCTTCCTCTAGCACTGGCTTGGTTGGCACCGCTGATTCTCTCCCGCGGCTCTTCAAATTCCACCTTATGCCACCACCGACCATGGGAATGGTCACAACTAGGTCTTATTTTCAGGGTAGGTCTTATATTTTAGCAATTCCCAAAAATAGTACCAGGTCTTATTTTCAGGGTAGGTCTTATTTTCGGGGAAACAGGGTAGGAGTACTCGCCCAAATACTTGGTATTGGCACTGATATCAATGCTAGTACTGGTGCATCCCTATGATAAAGACTAGAGCTTGTCAACTTGTGGTTTAGAAGCATCCCACGCCGCACTCTTTGCAATGATTCCTCTGTTTGGGCTCCATGTGCTTTCCTTTGTGACTTTTATTTGAAGGCTACGCTAAGACAGTGCGGGGACTTGTGTCTATAGTTATAGAATAAAATAGTATTACCATTTGCCTACATCAGTATAGAGTTATACATCTTTTAGACGGTGTAGTATTCAGGGCGGATATGACCCGTAGCCAGCCGTATCAGCAAATAAACTTGTATTCTTTTCCACAAACAATCAAATAAAATGGCTGATATTCAGCAGAGTGACAAAATCAACAGGGCTTATTGTCAGCAAATACAAGATCCGGCTCAGCGCCTGTATACCAAGTCCCATGACCAACTATGAATGATTGCAAATCCTGGAAATGGGAACAACAAAAGACACTTTGTATTGATTTTCTGGCCATTAGTGTCCTTAGAGCCCACACAATAGCCTTTCACATGGTGCCACTTTGATAACAGAGCACTGCTTGCAGCCTGAAATCTGAGCCTGGAAGATAATAAAGTACGGCAAATGTCATAAATATTTTATGTTCTGCCGTTTGTGGACTAAGCTATTCCCTTTGCAATTCTCCAGTAAATATCTAAAGATGTGCGTATATATGCAAAATGTTCACTCTAGTAAAAAGGGTGTGTGTGTCCAGTTAGAAAGTTGTCCGAGAGGTGTGAATTAGATGCTTCACGTGTAATTTAGGTAGCATCATCTGACCTTGAATGAAGTCAGGACTTTCGCTTTATACATCAAACTCACCATTAAAAGGAGAACTATGAGGGGGGGGGGGGGGGGGGAAAAAGACTTAACCCCATAGTTCTCCTTTAAGTGTCCTATCATACATACGAGGGCCAATTTAGACAGGAGCCAATTAACCTACCAGTGTGTCTTTGGAATGTGGGAGAAAAACGGAGTAACTGGAGGAAACATGCAAATTCCTTGCAGATAGTGACCGAGTGCTGCAAGGCAGAAGTGCTGACCACTACGCCACTGTGCTGCCTTAATAGCAGCTACTTTTAATACATATATTGTGGAGATGTCCCAAAGAGCCTGGATGAGAGGCACATTTGGAGCAGTGAGGGGTCTTTCCTAATACAAATTTTAAACAAAAATTCTGAAGTACAATAAGCTTTGTGTAGGACAAACGGCTGAGTGAGTCTATGAAATGACAGTATGCATTGTGTTATCCCAATCCTTGTTAGTAAGAGGACCCAAGTCCTTTTCCCACTCATTTGTAATCTCTGAAGGGGATTCTGGCATCAACTTAGGTCAATAAACACTTCTACAAATAGGAAATAATGCCTTTATTTTTATTTTTTTGTGTTAACATTAAATCAGATCGGATTGTATATTTGAATGCATTACATATAAGTATAGAGCAGGGGTGTCAAACTCAAATTTAAAATCGAGGTGCCGCATCAACATTATACAACATTTTCCCTGATTGGTCCAGATGGTTCCTTTCACACACAATTGGATGTTCCTACAATATTTATCACTGTGGACTACCCCCCAACCTATACCTTAGATGTGCTTCAGATGTATTAGTTTGGTGATCTCAAGCTCCTTCTTATTGCCATGTTATGCTTCATATCCTAATCTGTACCTAAGTGGTATCAATATTATTGTATTAGAATCCTAATGCTATACTTTGATACGCATATGAGTTGAATGTTTTTCTTCTTTGTTACTGGTCTTTTGTTGTTTGTCTCCCTTTTGTTATTCTTCCTTTTTTTGTGGAGTGCTAAATTTGTTAAAATGTTCAATAAAAGAAGAAATAATCAGATTTATAAAAATATCTAATATTTCATTTTACTTGTTTCTAGGCGATAGCATTTCTAGAAGCGATGAGCTTCGGAGAAGATGCGAAGAACTGGAGGCTCAGCTGAAGGACAAAGAAACGGAGAACAACGAGTCGTTAAAGGAGTTGGAGCAGAAAAACGTGATGATTATGGTTCTCGAAAATACTATTAAAGAAAGAGAGAAGAAGTACTTGGAAGAACTGAAAGCCAAAAGCCATAACTTGAACATGCTGTCCAGTGAACTGGAGCAGAGGGCCAGTACCATTGCTTATCTCACATCACAGCTGCACGCTACCAAAAAGAAGCTGTTCGGTACCAGTGGGGCCCCTGAGGTAGCCCCTCCTGGCAGCCCAGTAATGTCTAGCTACAGGCCGTCTCCTCCCAAAGAAAAGCAGCCGGAGACTCCAAGAAGAAGAATGAAGAAGAGTCTGTCCACACCGCTCAATGCTGACTTTGCAGAGGTCTACAGGCTAGGGTCAGACGGACGAAAGATAACGTTACGCGAGACTGTGGACGCCATGCCAGACCCTACTCCTTTTTTGCTGGCGAGACAGTCGGCGGACACGCAGGTCATCAAAGACAGGCCACTTGTCATTCCTCCCATTCGCTCCGACTCCGGCAGTCCGGCTAAAGAGAAGAAGCACAAGGCCCACGTTGGAGTTGCGCATCGAATTCCTCATGCCACCTCTGTGCAGAGACAGGTTGGACCTCAGCCAGAAGTTGAAACCTTAGCAGTGGATCAAGTTAATTCCAGCAAAGTTGTTAGGAAGCACTCGGGGACTGACAGAACTATTTAAATATATTGCAGTAACTATTATGCTAAACACTTTAACATTCAGCTTTCTATGCACTGTGTGACCAGATAAGATTAAAAGGAGAACTATGAGGTGAGTGCTTCTCAGTTCTAGCCGACCTGTGACAATGAGACTGTCACAGGTCAGCTCAGTAGATCGGGAAGTGAGCAAACAAATACTGGTGTTTGCACACTTCCAGATCCCCCCTCCCCGCTTCGATCCTACAGCGCGGACTGGCGGAACGGACGGGGGAGGGGGCGGGTACAGCTGGACCTGCCTCTAGATAGGCAGAGCCAGCTGTCACTCACGCAGCTGGGCGGATCCAGACATAATTGTCGGGATTCGCTTCAGCATCTCAGTATACTGCGAGCTGCTCAATATACTGCGTGTTGTAGCTCGTGGTATACTGAGCTTAGGGTGACGGGAGGACGCTAGTTTGTGTCCTCCCGTTACCCTAAGGAGAACTATGGGGAAAAGCCTTAAAGTGACATTAAACACTCAGATTTTTTAACATACACCAATACTGTAATATGCGCCTTACTGTAACCCATGGTTGTTTCCCTTCTCTTTGCTGCTCTTCCTTTTAAATCCTCGTGTCTTCTCATGCTGGGGGAGAACTTCCCTTTGCAGCTGAGTGCCTCTTCCTGTAGTGCTGGCTCAGGTTGTGAACCTTCACACAGACCCCATGTATCCATTCCAGAGACAAAGCAGTCAAAAGAGAAGTTCTGCCCAGCATGAGAACAGATACAGATTTAAAAGGAAGAGCATCAAAGAAAAGGGAAACAACCATGGATTACAGTAAGGCGCACATTACAGTATTGTTTTATGTTAAAAAAATCTGAGGGTTCAATGTCACTTTAACCCCCATAGTTCTCCTTTAAGTACATAAAGTAGATTTGATTCATTTTTTTTACATTTTGCAACTATTTTCGATCCCCTGCATGCCAAGCGTAAGCAGATTTGCTAATAAAATGCTGCTTGTCCTGGGACTCCAATGGCACAGTCAAGTGTTGTGACAAGACGTCAGCCTATATAAAGCTTGCTCCGGTCTTTTTCAACTTATACCCAAGTACGTCAACAAAAGCACCTACCTGCAAAGTTGCCACTTGTACAATAATCTAACAGAACACACCGATATACAGTTCTGACAAGCTACATAAAGGCTGTAAACACACAATGCTCGATAGGGCTCTAGTCTGAACACTGTATAACAATGCTTGTAATATATGGGCAGCAGTTATCATGCACTGTATATGTCTGATTGTACTGGATAATACCCGGCGCCCTCACTGATTTCTATGCAGTGTCTGTCCTTTCAGTGTGTTTAGCGGTTTCAGTGAACTATAAGCTAATTGCCAATTAAAAATAATGTCTCATCACTGGAAATGCTCTTCGGGCTCGGTCTTTAAATATAACATTTCTGTAATGGAGAGAATAAAAAAGTATGCGGCATACTAAAGGTGGCCCCTATTGATTCTCTACAAACTTTCTAGGGTCAGATGGAAAAAGTGCAGAAGATTCCTCCATCTACGCCAAGCTGTGTGTATGGAGGAATCTCCCGCTGGGGCGAGCTTCAGCATCTTACTAGGTCGGCCCCCGCCGGCTGTCAAAATACCTGAACATTGCCGGCATCCAATCAGATTGTTCAGGTGTTTTGAGAGAGTCAGCGGGGCCCGACTAGCAAGATACTAAAGGTGAATGATATAAAACACCAAAATGTTGGGGGGGGGGGGGGAATCAAAAACAGAAATCACTGAGTTGGAAAAAGGATCACCTCCTTGTGTCAGTAGTCTGTTGAACCCGCTTTTGGTTTTAGTCTTTAGTCAGTTGGGATTTGTCTCTACTAACGTTGCAATATTCGCCCGCTCTTCTTTGCAGAACTGCTCAAGTTCAGTTGCATTTGATGGCGACCCCCTGAGGGGCGGGCTTCCGTTGACCGCAATGGCGAACGGGCAGTGTGCGGCTTTTATTGTACGAACATGCTACACACCCGCCGAACATCGTACGATGCTCGGCGGGTTTTCGAACATGTTCGTAAGTTTAAAGTTGTGCGACCTTACAGTAGTAGAGGTCACACGGCTTCCACACACCTTACAATAATCGTACGATCGCGGGATTTCCCACGATTATCGTAAGGTGTGTGGGGTTTAAAGTCTGACCTCTGACTAGGCCATGAAATTACATTCACCTTTTCCTCCTTCAACCACTATGTGTGCTTGGAGTCATGGTCATGTTGGAAGATAAACCTTCTACTCATTGACAACTTTGACGGTATTTTGTATTATACCCACATGCTAGTTGTGTTATTTCCAAAAGGTGATATTAAAGGGCTATAGGTAGCTAGCATGACGAGATACACAATATCCTGCTTTGCCATTCAACACCCCCACGTCCCATGAAGTAACCCACGTCGTTTTTCCTGTTTCGTCATGCTGCCGCCATTGCCAAGCAAGGATGCATGGCTGCTAAGCCGTCAAGGGGCAGCACTCTCGTTCCTCCATTCCCCTGGTTGCATGGTCCAACTCTCAAGGTCCTCGTTGTCCAGAAGGTCGGCTGGCATGTGTGCCATGATTTGATGCCTTGAGTAATTAGGTAAGGTACAGCAGCAGTACACAATGAAGTCAATGCTCTCAATTGATAAAGTCGATTGCCGTATGGAAGATTCGGAGACCGACGGCCATTTACACATTTGCTAAATCCACCGCAAGTAGCATAGTGACCCCTGCAGAGGCCAGGTGAAAGGGTGTTCTCAGCATGCGTGAATCTGTTCATCCTAAAAAAGGGCTATATTGCACTCTGCAAGGGGTGTAACTATAAATTTAAACAAACAAAATTTTGCTATGGGGCCCTGTGATTTCTAGTTACGCCCCTTGCAGAGTCCACCTGAGATCCCAAATAGCCCATCTAAGAGTGACCCTGCAGAGCCCACCATAGTCTATATGGTGGGCTCTTCAGGGTCTCAGGTGGGCTGGTCACACTCCTTACCTGTCCGACTCCTCTACAGTCACTGATGGGCCCTACGTCCTTTTCAGTCACCGGGCCCCTCCGCTGGCTGTCACTGATTCAGCAGCGGCTGTGGAGAGGAACGCACTGCTCCACAGATCAGTGATCTGAACAGCGGCGTGTTCCTCTTCATAGCTGCCAGTGAAAGCCAGCAGCATGAGATCTCATAGTGATCCAGGCGGCCAGCATGACATCAGGGATGTTCGGGCCGAGCCCCATAGCGGCCACTTGGGTCGCTTTGGGGATTGTTATGCCGCGGTTTGCACTGTAATCGGCAAGCCTATTGTTGCACGTTAAGAAGAGAGAAGTACCAAGTCTTCCAAACATCATAAAAAACATTCCATGCCGTTACTTTCTTCCTTGTGTATACATTTTTTTTTTACTGACCAAAGCTGCTGCCAAATCCAGCCCCGCCTCCATCCCTGGGCAAATCCCTACCAGCACCGTCCCCGGTATGTCCCGGAACACATTTCCCTCTACGGTTAGCGAGATGTTCTTGATGATACTATGTCATTGTGTTATTATTGTATTTGTGATGTTCTGCACAAGGTGTCTTTTGTGCCCCCTAACGTAAGAAGAGTCCGCCTTAGGCATGGACGGGGGGGTACCCAATTTCCGAAAGCTTGCCCTAAGCCTCTTTGCGATTGTTGCCGTTGCGATATTCTTCAGATTTTATCTAGCAGAGACGTGGCAATTACATTGATGTATTTATGAAATGTGGCATACAGTCAACTGGAGGGAAATTTAATTGCCCATTGAAAGTTGAAAACTCACTGGAGGGGAATTTATCAAAATCTGGAGCAGTTGCCCAGGGCAACCAAACAGCTTCTCTCTTCAGTTTGTTCAGCTAGCCCTCATTCACACTAGAAAAGGCTGGCACGTACAGCTCCGCGCTGCGTGCACGGCCGTATCGGGCAGCTCCCGGGAAGGACAGGTGCTGGGTGTGATTAGTACACAGCCCCTGCCCTTCCCTATGGAAGTATGTGACTAAAAGCCGCCCTACACTCAGCCATCCCTGCACTTCGGTGCTGGTGTCCGTACTTGTACGCTGCCAGGATGGATCGTGTATGTGTCCGAGCCGGGACACACGCACCCGTACGGACCTGCACTTGGGGTGAGCGTAGGACGGCTTACTCCAATAGAGGACAGGGGCTGCTTACTAATCACACGCAGTGCCTGTCCTTCCCGGGAGCTGCCCGATACGGAGCTGTATGTGTCGGACATTTTTAGTGTGAATGAGGGCTTAAGATTTGGAAATGAAAGAGAGAAGCTGATTAGTTGCCATGGAAAGCTGTTACAGATTTTGCCGGCTCCAGTTTTGATAATTTCCCCTCATTGCGTTTTGTTTTATTTTTGATGTTTATTTAACAGCACTTAACGAACGTTCTTCCAGGCAGACGAGCGGCTCCCTTTAGTTCAGCAGTGCACAGACAACACAGAACAGATAAAAAGTCAATGTGTTTCCTAAGGATGAAAATTAAGTCAAGGAGGACTGTGCGCATTAAATTGGGCCTTAAGGGAGCCTTATGTTACTTTACGATCTGTACTTGCACGGTGGTGACCGACACTGACAGTGCCACAGCAACCCATTTCCTGTTTTGTATGAACAGGTGGGTTGGCTGAGTCAGCATTATGGCGCGGTGGTTGCCTAGTGACGGAACTGCTGGCGCATGTGTGCCGCTGTACTATGCACTATGTACTATGTACACATGCCAGCCGACCTTGACTATGGTAACCAGCGGCGCCTCTTCGAGGCTTCTCCAACGGCTGTGATGGAAACGGTTTGTTCCCGATACTGGAAGCAGAAGTCGTCTCTCTGATCCTCCACACACCCATTAAAATAAAAAAATAAGTTTTAAAAAAATAAATACAATTAAAAAAAAGACAAAAAAAAATGTAAAACAAGTTAATACAAATTTAAACATGCAAACAAAAACAAATAAAGTTTATAAAATTAAAAAAAACTTTTTTTGGTGTGTCAATTTTAAATAAAACTTTTT